TCTTTGAATATTTTCTCCCTTCTGTAAAAAATAATTTTCTACTTCTCTCTCTTGTGATTCGCTTATCCATAGAATATCTAACACCCATTTTTCCGTATTTTGCGCACACACAGACACACAGACACACATGTGTGTCTGCAGACACACAGACAACCATTTCGTAAGACCCTAGACTAAAGTCAAGGGAAAAATGCTTCGCAAAGCACATAGACTTCTAATGTCGGCGATTTTTTAATAGTAGCGGCGTAATGTGGCGTAAGTGAAAATTGCGCATAACTGTACTGTCGCGATTGCAGTTGCGATATTTTTTATTACTTGCGCAGCATCGGTGTGAATTTGTGCTATTGTAATCACAATGGTGAACAAAAGACCGTAATTATGCACAATTTGTTTCAATTAGATTTCATGATTTCACATTGTCAATTTATTATATAAAAAAAGTGAATGGATATAAATGTAAATACAGTTGATACAAAAATAAACAATCTTTGAAATTATGTAAAATCACTAATTTTGAATGCGAATACTATGTACAGAAGACATGAACTCCATGTAAAGTTAATGAATTGTTTATCGTCTTCGTTTTGGTAAAATTAATCCGATAACAACCCCAAAAGTACGTTCGAAAATAATGTGAGCGGCAAATCCTAATAGCAAAGCAAATATTACATGACCGAGAAACATGTATAAGAGTGTTATATCGGTAGCGTGAAATAAGCTTTGTTGTGCAAATAAGTAATAGACCATAATCATTGGGTGGATCAAATATGTCGTATACGAAATATGAGCAAAAAATGTAAATCCTCTCCAGGAGAGAATGCTATCAACCAATGGTGCTAAACCTTTGTAACAAGAAAAAATAATCCAGCTAACTGCCAGTGGCCATGAGATTCTTGATAATGCGAAATAGAGAGTGTATTCAGTTACAGACATGTTGACAGGATTTTCTTTGTGATTTTGAAAACCGCCGAATAACGATACACCCATAAAAGCTATTGTAAAAAGCCAACCGACTAGATGCCATAGCGGATGTAAATAAACTTTTTTCTTATCGGTTTTAAATAAAATATATCCTAGAAAAATACCAATTACGTACGGACCAGCACGACAATAAGGTTTAATGTAGGTATCTAAAATCAAACGAAAAGATAAGGTTAAATTCAAAATTCGCTTAATATCTAAGCAATCATAATAAATATAGTAACTTGGATCTCAAACAGGTGCTATGGGTAAATCAACATTTCTTTATTTCTATTGTAATATAAGAGGAGACTGCTGAAATCTTCGAGCTCATGGTCACTTCGCTCTGTTTTCCTGTTCTTTCTATTACTGAAATAAACTCACCTTCCCATATTTCTTGTAAGGTGACAATAATATTTCCCCAAATATAAGTGTTAGCAACATTGCCCATTAAAACCATGGTACTGAAAAGAAAATCATTTGAAATTTGTAACTAAATAAACTTATGGAATCATCATTTACCTGGCGATTAGGACTCCTATTAATATACATGATCCCACGATTGGATAATAGTATAATGGTACAATCAAGAGTGGACACAGTAAAAATAATTGAAAATCATTGCTAACATACCAAAAATAGCCTAAACATCGCGTACCGCGACCTCCGGGAACAAAATTATTGATTAGTAAAAAATACGCCCACCAATAATTGTGACAATCTTCATTCTTCATGGGAAAATCTTTCGCTGTCCATAAGGGACCACTACCAATATGTGGTACAACATAGATGTATAACAAAAATATCATAATGTACGGTGGTATCAAACGTAAATAACGTTCGACATACATCAGTAACCATACATACCATCTTGGCATACCGTTTTTTTTTAACATTCTCATTATTGATAGCGAGGCCAGCATTGCACTAATAACAAAAAATGTATCAACACCATACAATGCATTTATGATCAATTGCGCATCTAAACGTTTTTGAAAATCAAGTAAATCTAATGCATTTTGTACTAATAGAAAATAACTTTGATCGCCCAAATAATTGTATGTATGACCCCAAATAATCCATATCATACTAATCACACGTAAACCATTTAGACATTGCATAGCGCCTTAAAAAAGATGAAATGAATTTTTGAACGACGTTCTTTTTCTCTATTTACCTGATTGAGACATCGGTTTTAGAATGGATGTGTAAGCTGAGAGATCAATGAGGATTTGATGTACACGATAAATAAATTGTTTATACCATATTTTCCGTTTTTGCTGTACAACAAGTTTGACTGGCTCATTTTTATAACTCATCCCATGTAGTTGTAACCGATTCGAAAATTGATACTGATTGGCATTTAAATTTGCATAATAGATGGCATGTGGTCTCTGTTCTCGTGATGAAAGATTACATAAATCTTGTGCATTAGAAATGGTCAATGAATTCATCGATGCAAATGGTTTATTTATACAAGCACGATAAAAACAATCATATAATGTTGCCAAAATAACAATCACGGTTAATATTGCTATCAGTGTAATGGAGATGTAATATCGGAAATCAGGCTCTGCGTCCTTTTCACAATAAACACCATTTGGGGCAATAAACGTTTGTTGATGGATTGTTAACAATTGTAACGTGTTTCTAACCATTGGAACTATATCTGATTCCTCACAGTAATCTGGTACGCACAATCCAAGATCAACAGCTAAACAAAAGAACATAAATTTGCAGAAAACGAATCTTCATTAATATTATTTCAACACATACCAGCCAATGTAGCAGGATCTCCCGGAAAATTACTAACAGCACCACCAGCTCCAGCCAATAGTTCAGGGCTAGCACGTATTTTTGCCCGACAATATTTTCCTTTAAAATTTAGTGGTGTTGTTTTGTTACCATAGGATACTTTATGACAACTTCTCCAATCACCCATCCAGTTGATATTGGCAGCCAATAGATTCGATGGTGGCTTCCCACTTGCGTCAAACATTCTAAAAGCCCAAGTATTTTTCAATGGATTTTGTATGTCCTGAAACCAAGTTGCCATAGCAAATCGACATTTAGGTGTTTTAACTTCACCAAGATAAACATGTAAAATATAATCCTGAAAATTTTTTGGTGCATTACGCAAATAAAGTAAGGCTAATTTGACTGCATTCTCTTGAGTAACAAAACGTTGTATATAATATTTTAAATCACGAACAAAGAATACTGCTGATGTCCCTTGAGTGTCTAATAAGTTGATAATACGAAATAAATCAAATTTAATAAAGTCCCAATCAGCGGGTGCAAGCTGAGGATAGTCGAGAAAATATTGGGCCAAGTATTGTAGAGAAAAACCTAGGATCTCGTTAAGATTCAAGTTATCAGGAACTTGATCAAGATTTGCTGAAAAACCCGGTCCAGTATTGTTAAGACCGTACACAATTGTGTTTATGGCATTTATAAGGTAACAATATCTATCTTCTGCCGGTATACATTCGTATAGATTCGTTTCGTTAGCCACAGTCGTATTCATGTTTGCTGTTGTCTGACATTTAACGATTGAACATGTAGAAACAATCAGAAGTATAATTATTGTTAGATATTTCGTATAAATCATTTTAAGTTTACTATACAGAATTCTATATTGAAATGTAAAAGACTTTTGCTATTTCATATACAAATCTCTGATCACATGTTTACTTGGATAAACTACTTTTTTTCTTCTTCTTTTTCTTTTATTCTTATTATATGTCGTACCATGGTTGTTTGATATTCTCTATCGACTTATTAAAGAAAACGGTAAATAAAACAAACTTTTATCATTGACTGACATGAGAGTTATCTAATTGTTACGAAATATTCAACATGCTATTTTGATAAAGCAGCGATGTTTTTATTCCAACATTGTTCTACATTATATTATATTGTTCTACTCACCTTTATTTATACTATACGGCAACACCTATTCTTTGCGGGAGTATTGATGATTATGCTTTCAAAAAAGATCCATAAATGATCCATCAACACTAGAAAAAAAACTCAAATAAGGTTTTCTGAGTTCGGTCGGAGTAGAGTCCACTTACAGAAATTTACTACTTCTCCTTTTCATTTCGTACTATTTTCATTATAACACCAATCCAAATCTTTGTCGGCGCTAGATGTTGTTAGTATCTGAAGATGGGGCTCTCACCCGTTGGTGTCTTCCAAGTATAAAAGTTCGAAGCTTTCTATTATTATATGAAAAAAAAGACAAAGAAACTCACTGTTTTTGCAGAATATATTTTGTTTTGCTTTGCACTATTAGATCACTCCATATTTTACCCTATGCTTGAACAAAGCATACATTCATCTATTTTACTTTTACTTCATACAAAAAGATGGTTGTTAGTATACTCATTTTCCAGAATTTTTCTAGTTTCAGATCCTGTTTTGATCACATTCTGTTTTTTTCTGATTTTCAATCTTTTTTCCATCTTACGCTATAGAGAAGACTGATATTTAGAGCGAAAGTTGATATAAAGTTGAATGCAGACTATGGTTATGTGTGAATCATTGCAACTCCCTCGTAGTGCTTCAGACGAATTAAACTGACAAGATATAATAGTATAGGGTCTGAGTCAAATTGTTTCACACTGAATAATCTGAAAAATTTTACCTTCCGAAGAAAGAGTTTTTCAAGTTGCAGTCGCATAAATGAAACCGATGCAAACTGCCCCTCGCGGATTTTCTATCAGCCAACAGATTGATTCTTTATAGGTTCTAATCTTTCTCAACTCACTTCTCGACAGTTCACTTTATTTACTGATTTTAACTATATTTGTGTGAAAATAAAAGGTTTATTACTAGAGTCGGACAGTCTAGTTGCTCCTCGTTAAATATGTCGGATCCTTGACTACAGTATAATGTCAACGGGCCGCTTAGGTGACTGAATCTGTTAGATGATACAATTAAATTTGGCTTACTTAGAACTCAACTCCCAAAGTGCAGAATCGATCTATAAATCTGAAAAATTTTTATTATTGGGAAAAAGTTTTGCGCTATTTTTAATTATGTTTTTTTCTGGATAAGATAGTTTGTTCCCGAAAATCGTTAGTGATATAAACGCATGGTATTCTTTATTTATGACAGATTCTTCGGACATAAAACATTTTTGAGTTGCCATTCTGCTTAAAGGTGGATAAATGAAAACAATTGTCCTTGAAACAAAAGACAGTCCAGAAAAGGAAGCCAAAAGCGATCTTTACTAACCAATATTTTATTCATTCACAGAGAAACTTGCATGAAATTTCCTTTGACTGGCAAAAGATTACGAATTAGCTTTTTCTTTATTAGGACCTTAATATGACATAATATTCATGATGCTAGTAAAATCGAACTAGAACTTTGATAAGTAGTGTACACTTTTACTACATCTGTCATTTTCCTTAGCTTCTTTTCAAAATTGACAAAAGGTCAAAATCAGAAAGGTCAATTTCACTGAACTTATTGTAGCTACTTAATTATACTCTTAGATAGATTATTATTGATAGTTAAATGCGTTTCTATAGTTCATCTTATTTTTTGAGACATAGCCAGAATACAATCCATCAAAATACAAAATAGATGTTGTCTAAATTATTTAAAAAAGTTTTCTAATATTGAAATATGTGCCATATTGGTTTTGTTTTACTTTTATGATAAGGCTCAGGTAGAAACTCATTTAATATTTATCAAATACGTTTTAGAGCTTGTGTTTTGCTCTTAATACTTTTTTTTTGCTCTTTATAGATTTTTTTCTTTTTGAGCAAAAATCCTGTTTTATTTTGGTCAACCAAAACTTGTATTTATTGAACTCATATTTTCTCACGACAAATGGATGAATATTGTGTAAAGTTTTTACTCATACTCATTCTATTTACCTTATTGAACCATTTCGCCTGTTTTCTCGATAATAGCCATGAGTTATTCTTCTCCTTTTGTTTGAAATATGACTAGAACATCATATTACGCAGCTTGAAATAGATGATGAAATATCCAGAGACTATTTTCAGTGATGGCCAGATACTTTTCTCTTAGGAAAGAGAAGAAGAGATAATCTTAATGGTATTTGCAGACATTATTAGTCATGTATCATGCCTTACCACTAGAAAAGAAGTCAGCGATACACTTATAAGATTTAAACGTCATTTTTTCAATGACTTGATGCTTCCTATTCTTTTAAATTATACATTCTCTATTTTCCTTTCAGATACATTTCTTTTATTTTTGAAAGCTCAATATATTCATGTCGTTACAATTTTTCGATCAGGCCTGGTCAGCTGGCGATGGTGTCGACGATGATCAACAAGATGAAACACAACAAGGGCGTCAAGTAAGTGGAACCCATTTTAGATTTTCTTCTGAGTCATCAAACGACTAATTTATTATTCGTCAGAAAGTCTATCAGTTATCACTTCTAGACAATTCGATGAGGGACGAGCGGGGCAAAAAGGGAAAAATTCCTTCTTGTCTAAAAAACCAATTCACTTTCTAAAGTTGATGAGCGAAAAAACCTAGGTTACGGAATCAAACTCTTCATCGAAAACACTGATTAGTTTTAATAATGATATATCGATTTCTTATGTGATCTAAGAAAATGTATAATTAATCTAGAAGTTATCATGTTTGTTTTGATTACTTGAAAGACCCTGTATATTACTGTTAAAAAACTAAATTAGACACTGAGAATAAATAAACATCGAAATTAATTGTCGACTCTATCCGTTTCGTTATCTTATAGCTACTATCGAAAGAAACAGGATCATCTGTTAAACTCTTTTCTAAAGAAGATTTTAAACTTTTTCCATTTTAATATAGATTATGACTTCTCGTGATGGTACAATTTTTCTCGTTGATTGTGGAAAAGAAATGTTTGAACCAATATCTTTGAATATGAAAAAAGAAAGTGATGGTGATGACGATGATGATCAAACAAATATTACTGATGATATAAAAACACCATTTCAATTGGTTATGAAAGCTGCACAAACATTTTATCAATCAAAAATAATTAGCAATGATAAAGATTTAATGGGCATTATTTTATATGGAACAGAAAAAAGTAAAAATTCTTTTGATTTTAAACATATCAATATCTTACATGAACTGTCACAACCATCAGCTGAAAGAATAATTGAATTAGAAACATTATCATCAGAAGATAAATATTTGGATTTATATAAAAAAGAATTTGGTTCTGTTAATTTAACTTATTCATATTCATTAAATGAAGCATTATGGACATGTTCAAATTTATTTTCAAATTCACCACAACGTTTAACAGTTAAACGTATTTTCATATTTACATGTAATGATCAACCACATGCAACGAATTTAATATTAGAACGTCAAGCAAAACAACGTGCCAAAGATTTAAACGATGTTGGTATACAATTAGAATTATTTCCATTATTAACAAAAACTATAATAAAATTTGATTATAGAAAATTTTTTCAAGATATGTTGATGTTGGCTGATGAAGATTTAGAATTATTAGAAAAAAAACCATTTAATAAATTAGATGAATTATTAAAACGTGTATTAGCTAAAGAACATAAAAAACGGGCATATTGTACGGTACCATTTAAATTTGGCATGATTGGTGATAGTCAAATGGAAATGTCGGTTAGCGTTTATAATATTGTAAGTAAATATATGTCTCTGCTCTATAAATGTCGATAGCTAAAGACAGTCTAGTGAGAATTGTATAAGCTTTTGTGATAAAGTCAGATAATTATTTTTATACATTCAAAGCGAACTAGATCTTGATAGTGAGCAACATATTTAGTTATGATATTATTTCATTATCATCTTTTTGTTGTTTCATTTTAGGTTCGTCCATGTCCAAAGCCAACAAAAATCAAATTGGATAAGAAAACAAATTTGGAAACAAAAATTGTTACAAAACATTATTTACCCGAAACAGCTGAAATATTGATGCCGTCCGATATTCAATATGGCCTGGATATAGCTGGTCGACGCATACTATTTGAACAAGACGAAATAAAAGCAATAAAAAAATTTGATGATGAACCGGGCTTTCGTTTATTGGGTTTTAAACAAATGTCATGTTTAAAACCATTTCACTATGTGAAACCAGGTCATTTTATTTATCCAGATGAAAAATATGTTGAAGGTAGTTCATGTTTATTTAATGCATTACTGAAAAAATGTTTAGACAAACAAATGTTTGTATTATGTCAATTTACGGCAAGACGTAATACACCACCGCGTATGGTTGCCTTAATACCACAAAAAGAAGAATTTGATGCTAAAGTACCAACAGATAAAATTGCTTCAAATGGTTTTCATGTTGCCTATTTACCTTATGCCGATGATATTCGTTCATTACCAAAATTTGATCCACCACGTGCCACTCAAGATCAAATACAAAAATTTCGTCAAATAATTAAAGCTTTAAAATTTAAATATCGTCCAGATAAACTTGAAAATCCTACATTACAAACATTATGGCGTAGTATTGAAGCAATGGCATTAAATAAAGATAAACCAGATGAATTTGTTGATTTAACAATACCAAATATTGAACGTATGGAAGACAAGGCCGGACAATTCGTAGAAGATTTAAAAACATTAATATTTCCAGTAGGTTATGCCGGATCGAAAAAACTAGCAGCAAAAAGAAAGGTAAATTGAAAAATGTATAACATAATATTAAATGTTTTACAATATTAAATAATGTATAATTGAAAATGTTTTTATTTTATTGAATCTATTTATCTAACTTTTGATTATGTTTCTAAATTTAGGCGGATGGTGATGCAGCAAATGAGAGTAAAAAGTCAAAAATGGAAGATGCAGCTGAGATTGAAACGGCCGCTCGTAATGGATCTGTAAGTAGAAAAAATATACGATAGAGGTTAATAATATTTAATTTTATATTTCTTCTAGTTACAAAAATTAACAGTTCCAATAATGAAAGATTATTGTAGAGACAAGAAAATACGTACAACTGGAACACGAAAACAAGATTTAATCGATGCCATTAATGCCCATCTTAGCATAGCAAGTTAATTACTTATATCTATATAAAAGATCGTTAAAAACTAGTCAACAAAAAGTTTTTTTTTCTCATGTAAAATATTGTTATTTTCTTTTTTACCACGTTCTTTTGAGCTGAAACTTTCACATTGTTCATATTTTTTATTCAAAATATGATGAAAATGTTTACTATATTGTACAGACTAGTTTCTTATACTTTAATACTTTATTTGTTAATATATAGAAAAATGTAATTTGTCATTTCTTTTTTTTTATATTTGTTCTATTGACTGTTCTTTTTTTTATATGTGTTTATCTGTTAATTAAAATTAGAAAATGAATTGATCTGATAATGAAACAAGAAAAATATCTTCTATTTTATTATATTTTTATCATGAACACACGTTATGAACCGTACGCAGAATGTTTCGTCTACATTTTTAGAACATCTATCCCTGAATAGAAACTAATCTGCTTATCTTATCTATACAATAATTCTAATTGTGCAGCTCTATTACTGTGTATAGTTTACGATTTCTGACTGGTTTTTGTATAAAAAAAAAAAACGAGAGTTTTCAACGATATCGTTGTCCTATCCATCAGGTTTTGTCAAGAACTTGCTTTCAACAATCAGCAGTAAGTAAAAAATATATTTTTAAGTACGCGTTTTCTGTTCAGATTCGATGTTCGAATTCTATTCGTATTCAGGTGCCAATAAAAAGAAAAAAGAGCGAAAGTTTAAATTTTTTTTCTTAAAGGTATCGTTTAGACATTATTATTTATAAGATAAGAATGACTTTTAAAAGTCTACTTTAATCGAATTTACTTAATTTTTCTTTAAAATAAAATCGAAACTGTTAACTGATAATTAAAAAGATTATTAAGATAAAACATTTTCAATTGAGCAAGATACTTTTGAATAAATTGTTTTCTTTGACATACCCTTTTCATGTCGATTGTTTTACGTACATCGATCAATTTTAGGTAATTATATATGTTAAATCTGGGTCATCAGTCATATATTGCGTGTGACTGATTCTTTATTAGATTAACTTAATATAACAAAATATAATAAAATTTATTATTTTCGAAGTAAACCGTCTGTTGTTCATTTAATCTTATTGTATCCCACAAAAAAGTTCGTCTTGTTTTTTTTCTTACGATTTTCTTTGTTTTTATTACATATCTAGATATTTTAGCCTTCCTTTTTTAGTACTTATCACATTAATCACAAGGTAATTTCGTATGTCAGATCAAATAAAGAAAAGAAAATATTTTATATTAAGTGTGAAAGGAATGTGCGCATACTGTGAATAACTACTTGTGATTTTTGATAATAATATACGTGTTAAAATATAAATTTGACTTTTATGTAGTTATGATTGGTTGTTTACTTTAGATATTCGTATTTTTATAGTTGTGTCTTATATATATTTCATGCATTAAATCAATTACTTAAATACTGTCAGTTATTTTTGCCATGTCTACTCCAATAAAAGATGATTCGCGTCATTCAACATCATCTTCTACAATATCGTCAGCTCCATTTAATTCAATTGTTGGTGAACATCCAAATGCTGTTACAAATCGGTAAAATTTATTCTAGATTTGCCAAACTTTCTAGTAATGATCAGAGATGAAGTCCAGGGCACTGTCTAGAGTCCCACAGGTTACAACTTTTTCGCAACCTATAACCTAACCTATAAGTTTTTTGGGTTTGGACTCAACTGAGATACAATCCATGTTTTAATCAAGTATCTCACAATGGAACGATTTGTACTGTCAAGCCGCTTTCAAGTTCGAAGCATATGTATTAGATAGACCCCGGTGAGGTATAAAAAACCCCAAAAGGCTATGTGCTGATGGGCCTTCCCTCCAGAGTTACAGTCATTATACTGGAATTTTAGCCTATTACATGGTATCTACCAAAAACACTAATCACGATATTTCGACCTGAAATTTTGTCCACAAGTAGGCCTATTTGTAATTAGAATGTTCTGCAAATTTCAGTTCAAAAGAATGTTCCCTTCAGATATTGAATTTCCAAAATCACTCATGTTCTACGAAAAGATTGAAAAATGTCAAATTTTGGGGAAACTCAATATCTTATGAAGGAAACATTCTTTTGAACTGAAATTTGCAGAACATTCTAATTACAAGTAGGCCTACTTGTGGACAAAATTTCAGGTCGAAATATCGTGATTAGTGTTTTTGGTAGATACCATGTAATAGGCTAAAATTCCAGTATAATGACTGTAACTCTGGAGGGAAGGCCCATCAGCACATAGCCTTTTGGGGTTTTTTATACCTCACCGGGGTCTATCTAATACATATGCTCCGAACTTGAAAGCGGCTTGACAGTACAAACCGTTCCATTGTCGGTTGAGAAACCAATATTTCTGCGAAAATATTCGTTTCTCAACTGAGATACATTTTATAAAATATGGACTTCAACTTCAACTATGGAACCAGAAAAAAGTCATTTTTCTAAAATTACCTGTCAACAAGAAATCGTCTACTGTTAGTAGTTAAGTTCAAGTTTAAATTAGAGAACATCAGTCAAAACTTTATTAGAGATATCTTCAGCGATGAAGGAAGCAAAACGAGAGTAAAAAACAAATGTTTCATTACGTCTGCGCATCAACGGCCAGCTATTTGAATCAGTAAAATCATACTGTTTTGCTGTTGAGCATTTCAGTATTGGTCAAAATCGTTTTCTCCTTTATGATAAAAAGAGGCTACCGATACTGATAATGTAACCTAATCTACAAGAATCATAACTGAAACCTAATTTAGTCTTAGTTTTGACCTTCAGGGCTTTGGTGTCGTTCCTCTCTGTCTCCCTCGAAAATTTTTTCGATTTTGAGTTGAGCACAGACTAATCTAGAGGAAAATCTTAACTACAAAATAAGACTAGTCCCAGCGTTTCTCAACTTTTTTGTGTGCAAAAGTTATGAGTTTTCGAATATCTCTCTGAAAAGGTCAAAAAGAAACTCAATCTCTTCACTTTCCCATGTTGCTTTCTCCTTTCCAGTTCCTTCAACATTTTTTATTAAACATAATCTAATAGAGTAAAGTATTCTTTTTACAAGAACACTTTTTCTCAAACATTTTCAATGATTTTTCACGGAGACTGCTCAAACCATTGTTGACTCCACTCTAGGTACATTATAACATCCAGAAAACTTTATTTTCCAAAAATCTCATCACAGATATCTGTGACGATTTCTTAGATCGGTCTGTTTTTTCGTTGCTGATTTTCTGTGTGAGTTAAAAGGTTTTCAGAATCAAAATCTTACGTATTTAACATTTTTCTTCTATTGAATATTTTTCAAAGAAAGAAAAATATTGCTTAAGCACATGACTCGCAGTATTCATAGTCTTCTGCTTTTTTTAGGTTTTTCTCATATGAACGAATAGAAGAAATAAGCAATTATCTTCGAAAAAAAATAGCTGCTGCTCCCGAAGTTGCTATTATATGTGGTTCAGGACTTGGTGGATTGGCCGAATTGATTACAGATAAAATTAGTTTTCCATACAATGAAATACCTTACTTTCCGTCGAGCACAGTAAGAAATTCCTTTTTTAATGATCAATTTAAATGGAAAACTGTTATTTTTAGGTTCCTGGACATCGAGGCAATTTAATTTTTGGAATATTAAATGGTATTTATGTTGTATGTATGCAAGGAAGATTTCACCCATATGAAGGATATACAACAGCATTGGTAAAAATACTTGTTATTTACAGTAAATATCTGTAAACTAATTCTTTTTTATTCTAGTGCGCTATGCCGGTTAGAGTCATGAAAATGTTGGGTGCTCATTCATTAATTGTTACATGTGCTGCCGGAGCTATTAATAAAGATTATAATATTGGCGATATGATGATTATTAAAGACCATCTTAATTTTTCAAATTTTGCTGGTAATAATCCGTTAATTGGAGTCAATGATGAAAGGTAAGTACACTACGAAGAGTATATTTGTTGTTTAATTAAGTTATTTTGTGAATTTATTAAGGTTTGGTGAGTTTAACACTTAATTTGCAAGTTTGAGATTAAGAGACTAATGTTGGTCTTTTAATAGGACCTCGATTTCCACCAGTTGGACATGCGTATGATCGAGAATATGTAACATTAATGAAACAAGTGGCAATAAAACATGGACATGAACTACGTGAAGGAATCTATTCAGGTTTAGGTAATAAAGACACGTAGTACAAAATAAATGACTATTCCAAAGAATTCTCTATTTTTTTCTGACAGGTGGACCATGTTACGAAACAATTGCAGAAATAAGGGCGCTAAGAATACTTGGAGGAGATGCTGTTGGTAAGTGACATCTTAATGTTTCTAATTAAAAATGCTTAATAAATTTTGAGGTAAAATTCAAAGTTATACCAATGTTATTGTCAACAAGTATTTGATTCTCGTTTATATTTCAAAACGGCTATTTCTTTCTTAAATTAACTTATATTTTTATTTCACTCTTTTCTAGGAATGAGTGTTGTGCATGAAGTAACTGTAGGCGCTCATTGTGGTTTTCGAATACTTGGCTTAGCATTATTAACAAATAAATGCTTGACAGAGTATAATGCTGCACATGAATCTTTACATGAAGAAGTAATTAGAATTAGTGAATTAAAAGCAAATGATATGCAACAATTAATTTTAAATTTTGTTGGCGTATTAAAAGAAAATTATGTTTAAAGTACCAGTGTTACAACTCTTATTGAACATTTTTAATTTTTTTGTTTTTCTTCTCTTATTTCTCATAGTGAACCATTTAAACACATCCAAATTATTGTGCTTTTCTTTCATAATATCACTGTAGTTTTTTCTCCATCCGTCCACGTAGAATTGTTTACAGTTTCCATATACAATTACTAGAAGAAAATATTATCAGTAAGTGCGAGTGTGATACCATCTTGCATAATGTTCAGATCAGATTCCTTTTTTTGCCTTATATTTCTTTCTCCGGTGTTTGTTTTGTTTGTTTGTTTGTTTGTTTTTTCAATTTTTTTTAACCCTCAGGTTTTCTCATTTTGGTATACAATTTTCTCCAAATCATTCCTCACTTAGATACTTTTTCGTGTTTGTTGAATAGAATCATGATAGAAATTGAAACTGTAGTCACGCTTGAAAGATTTTCATTTAATGATAAGTGCTAGGTTATCTTTAAACTTTTTTTCAATTTTTCTTCTTTTTAGTTTGTATGTACTTCTTCCCATTGAAATATTCTGTTGTGGTTGTTGTATGTTTATTGTATGTATCTACAGGATTTGACCATGTTTAGAATCATTCCTTTTCCTTCTCTTATTTGTGCGAACTTTTCTATTAATAGAAGATCTTTTAAACATTATTCCACTTTGTAGATATTTGCTATGTATAATAAATATGGTATTCAACAAAGAAATGCTATCAAATAATTCGAAGAAAACTGAAGGATTTTTATTTAAACAAAAAATAGTATTAATACTAAAAAGAGTGCTGTTAATGGAAAAGTGTTGTTTCTTTTCAAAATGTTTTATTTTTTACAATATGAATACGAAGTTGTTATAAATTCTATAAAAATAATTATTTATACACCAGTTTTGTTTTAGAAATATTCCTTAATAATGCGTTTGTTCGAGTCTCTGATTGTTTCAATGCATAGCTTTACCATTTCAGTTCTCCTCTCTTAAAATGAGAGATGATATATTAAGCTGATGGTTTCACATTTAAACCATAACAATTCATTTTTTTTAAATAATCGACCGTTTTAGATCGTGAATGATTACATAGCTCTAATACCGATTCAAATGATAAAACATGCATAAAAAGTTTGAAGACGCCATTGAGCAAGTCTCTTATCGTTCATTTTTCAATTCAGCTAGTGCATTATTTCGACGTCGATTTGTTTCCGTATCATCTGGAATCTTAACTAATCGTCTATGGCTCAAATCACAAGCAAATCATGAATGTGATTTGTTAATAACGTTTCCATCTCGTATAGATGAGAATAAAATCATATGGTTTCTAAAGCAATTGTTACTGTTAGAACCGGATATTCGAATAAGTATCAAATATCATTTTACAACTGGTAAGCATTTATAATTGTCATATCCTCTCTTTGTAAGTCAAAAATATTGACTTTTTTCAAGGTGTATATGGCTTTTACATAACATTCACATACTCAAAGTAAGTTCATATCCTCTGAAGTAGATATTTACAAATCTAATTATACAATATATTTTTTGAAGGCTCTTGAAAGGTGCTGAATCACTTCAGTTAGAAAAACCGATTAAATCTCAGTTTGGAGGTGGTTTTAAGTCGTTTATATTCGACGAGTTCGCGTTTTATGACAGTAGGTAGAAATAATATCGTTTTATTTAAATTTATCTTGTTCTTATTTTTATTAGATGTTGAGTGTGAACAATCATTTTTAACATCACAAGAACGTCAATCCATTGGTTTTTTTCTATTAAATGAAATTAAAATTCAACAAAGACAAGAAGTATCAGGCATTAAATTTAAACCCGAACAAAAACTTAGTAAGAGCACGATTATTGTAATTATGTCTAATCATTTTTATTTCTTTGCTTTTTTTTCCTCAGTTCAACGAGCACTTGACAAACAACTTGTAAAACAAATCATACCATTACATAACAAAGATAAACTGAATAATTTGTTTCAAAATTGGGTTTTGCCCAAAAATATTCTAAAACCACAACCAATTGGTAAGTAAAGATAAATATTGTCAGCTTAAAATTTAATTTGTTTTTCTTTCTTTCAAAGATGATATAAGACAATATTTTGGTGACAAGACTGCATTCTATTTCTCTTGGATTGAGTTTTATACAAAAGCTCTATGTCTTCCTGCTATATATGGCATAATACTTTGGTTTTTTACGGGTAAAAGTCAGGTATGTATTTTTTTTTATGCATATTAAACATAATGTAACCTCTCATAATGATGATAATTGTGTAGTGGCCACAGTATCATGTTTATCTAACATATTGTATAATATTTCACCAGCAGACATATTGTTTGTTCGTATTATGGGAGAATTTTTATTTTTCTCTTGCACTCGATCACTAACTATAGTATTTGTTCGTTGTTGTTGACTAGTATTATTATTATTATTATTATTTCGTCTATAACCAAAAAAATCTTGTTTATTTCTATTTTGTCCTCTATTCCATTTTGGTTTGTTCTGCTGCTGTTGTTCAAATATATTTTCATCTTCTTCATCATTGTAATTCATTTGAATAATACAATTTTGACTGCTATTATTATTGAATTGTATCATTGATTCATCATGTAATAATGGTTTTATTTCTTCGACGGTTATTCGTGATCGTTCTAACTCAGCAATCCAAATACTTTCGACAGATAAAAGAAAAGATACAATTAGTTTAGAGCAGAGTTGGGCAACTCACAGATTTTGAACTCCAACTCAACTCAATTCAACTTTTTTCTTTTTTCTCTACTTTAAAGTCTCCTTGGATAAACTTTTATTCTATAGTTCATATGGACAGCAATAAAAAAAAGAAGAGAAATGACACACTGTGACGTACTAATAGAAAATACTAAAGAACACTGATAAAATAAATAACGATTGTATTTCAACATTGTAAGTTGCTGTAATGTCTTCCCGGACATCGATACTCTGCATTGAGGAGATAAAAAACTGCTTTGTGAGAACACTCTTTCAACGGGTGTAAATATAGCGGGAGCATAGAGTATTTTGGTAGTCAACTTAGCTAATGTCGTAGAATCTGATAGTTTGAGAAGATCATCAGATCTCTTTTGATAGAAGACAAAACAGTGGGGTCTCCCGACAGTTATAAACAAAAAAATACTTTCTTTGAAATACTTTGAATGATTCAACGGTCCATACTAAAAAGCGTACAAACAAATAGTACACTCGAACACTCTCCTCATGGCAGCTGAAAAATTTTGATCAATTTAGATAAAGAAAAATCTGATGTAAGGATTACGAGTCATGTTCTACTATGATATGACTGATCGTTTCAAACTCAATTATATAACAAAGTACGAGACTCTTTTTTTCTTCCTTTTTGTTCTTTGAATTGAATTTTCAACCCAATTTAACTTATCCACGAAATTTTCTAATTCAAGAGTTACATTGAGTTGAGTTGGAGTTATCTATTTTAGATTGAATTGTACAGTTTTAGTTTAGAGTGGATATATGCATAGTTTTATTTTTATTTAATTTTTTACCGTGGTAGTATATATGTTAATAGAAATACATAAGCTACGTATCTAAAGGGCATTGTTGGTGTTGAACTAAAAAAGAGGTATAAGCCTGACATTGAACCCGCCATAATGAGACCTATTGAACACATGATCGATTCTAATAATTGTACAACTTGAAATGGTTTTGTAAAACGATAAATATTCAATGCACAGAGTATAAAATTAATTGGTAATAATATTGTAGAAAATAATAATGGTTGTTTTGCATGTAGACATAGATCAATTTGTATGTGTCGAATACAAGTTGAATGATGATATTGTATGATTTCTTTTCGATGTTTATTAACAATATACCATACTGATGACAATATCGTTTGCAAAATAACACTTAGAACAATAATACCAATAATAAAACGTACTTGTTTATAACGTTCTTTGTTAAAATATTGATTGAATGTTCGTACTAGTATTATGATTAATGTACTACTCATAAGAAGTGTACTAGTATATTGAATGAATAATTGTTCAATAATACAAAAATGTTCTGTTGACTTATAAGAGAAAATGTAGGCTGAACAGAATAGAAATAGGACAGATATATTTAACAGATAACATTTGAATAATGAAATATAGTCATGAAAACGAATTTCAGTCAAATGAATTTTAATTGACGCTATAAGAGTGATAATAATACCTAATGTTGTAAATATAAATTCTTCTAAATGTATCCAACCAGGTGGAAGAAAACAAATTGTACTATTATTGAAAAACTCGTAGGAATTACGAAATTTAACATCCATTGTTTGTAAATCATAGATTGTCCATGGAGAATTATATTGTAATGTATTGTTACTGACTGACAATGAAACTAACATTATTTCATTACAACGAGTCGAATTTAGAAACTATAGGTATATATTAATTAAACTTAACTAAAGTAAAATTGAAAACTTAACAAAAAAATATATACTGTTGCTTGGGGTACTTCGAGAAGCGCCTGTCAAGATAGAATACTAGAAATGTTCGAGCTTTACTTTTTCTTTACTTTTCTCTTCGTTGAAATTATAGATCTACTAACTTTGTCAAACTTCTAGTCAAAAGAAGTTGAAATTTATACTCAAATCTTCTATACTTCTGATCGATTTTAGATTGTGTTCACCGCTCATAACATACGGTCATCAAGGTTGACAATTTTCTAAGAATGGATGGATATACTCGAGTGTACTATGATTATATCACTTCACTAGTCAATAACGAGTTTCACATTTTAAACCCTGCTGATGCGACTTTTTTGATATCGTTGAGTCAAGTTTAGTAAAATTATTTTCTAATCCTTTTTTTTGTTAAATACTCATTTTGTGATATCTAAGTGATTATATATAACGTTTTGGAAACGTCTTATATTCCGTTGTTTTGTCACGATTCCAGTATTAATATCAAATATATTATTAGTTGCTTTATGTATGTTGTTAATATTTAGCAACAAGACGATGTTATTCATATACTTAATAGTTTACTTAATATTATGTGGGGAACATGTTTTCTCGTCTTATGGAGACGAAAACAAGCTGAATTAGCCTATTTTTGGAATACATTAGACTTAAATGATAATCTTCTGGAAGATCCACGTCCAAAATTCAAAGGACAATATAGATTATCACCTATTACAAATAAAGATGAAACGTATTATCCACATTGGAAACGTCTTATATTCCGTTGTTTTGTCACGATTCCAGTATTAACATCAAATATATTATTAGTTGCTCTATGTATGTTGTTAATATTTCGTTTTCAAAGTTGGATTGATCACAATGTCAAAGCTGGTAATCTTCCACGTACGTATATTGTATATTCAAAATTGATTTCTTCTAATTCCAATTTTATTACAGATTTGATGTCATTAACTCAATTTTCTCCAAAAATTCTTTTGGCAATTATGACAACTATATTTAGCGATTTATATAAAAAAATTAGTCGTTGGTTGAATGATAAAGGTAAAAAATAAATGTGTGTATAATTTCAAACATACTAATCATTGATAAATATTTTATATTTATACAGAAAATTATCGTGAACAAAGTGAATATGATAAACAAATGATAACAAAACTTTTTGCCGTAAGTTTTTCTTGTAATTATGAGATTAAATAAATCAATGATAAAATTGTTTTCTTTCGCTTTAGTTTCAGTGCGTCAATTCATATCTGTCTGTCTCTTATATTGCATTTCTCACTCATAAAGATACGCATTTCTCTCAGGTAATGCTTATTTTTTTATTTAGAGACTTAATATTGATTTTTATTTTTTAAAATAATTGTTGTTTTATTTTAGCAACTCTTAGCAATATTTGTGATCAAACAATTTTGGCGTAATATAAAAGAAGCATTGGTACCATATTTTGTTGCAAATACAAAACTATCAGTACTGATTAAATTGAGCAAAAAAGAACGTGATCGATATGAGGATAAAAAGGAATTAAATAAAAAATTGAAACAAATATTAGATGAATGGGAATGTTCACAAGATAAAACGGAAACAAAATTATTAAATACACAAAATGTATAAATTTAACTAGAATTATAATTGATATATAAAAATGAACGAAGACTATTTTTTTTAGAGTGAAACATATGATTATTCAACACAAGCAGTTGATAAAACTTTAACAGATCACTCTTTCGAAGAATTACATCGTAAACCATCGTTAGCAACATTTGAAACTTTAACACTTTCACAAGCTGAAATTGAATGTTCACAACCAAAATTTCCCGATTTATATGAAGATTATTTAGAAATGATAATGCAATTTGGTTACATTATCTTCTTTTCATCAAAATTTCCATTAGCGGCATTTTTTTCACTATTAAACAACATAGTGGAGGTTTGTATTTTTACTTTTTTGGGTTTTTTTTTGTTTCATTTTATTTTACTCTTTTTCATCATTTTATAGATACGTACCGATGCATTTAAAATATGTATGATTTATCAGCGTCCATTCACTCAACGTGTAAAAGATATTGGACATTGGCAAAATGTTTTAGAATTGATGATTATTGCAGCAGTGATTGTTAACTGTACACTTTGTTGTGTAAAAGGCATATTTCGAAGAATTTTACCAATGCCATTTGCTGCTGAGATATTTATACTTGTACTCATTGAGGTAAAATGTCAAATATTGAGTACACTGTGTGATATTATAGTAATAATCTTCTTAGGGAAAATTTATTGGATTTTTTTTAAACAATTAAAATATTCTGAAAAAGATGTCCAATGAAAATAAAAATTTTTTTCCTTCATATTATTTAAACATAACAAAAAATATAGATAGTTTGAATAAAATGTTGCGATTGAGAACGGAAAAAACATTTTCACCGTACATTTTTCAAGTATACTTCCTCCAATGCTTAGTGTTACCAAAAGGTGCCAAAAGAAAAGCGTGAAATTGATATTAGTAAAAAACAAAAAATGATCAATGCAAAATTGAAAAGATATTTGAAGCTACGGTGTCTTTGTAATTTTTACCAACAGTTTTAATTGTATAGCTAATATTTCGTATTTTGTACATACAATATGATTAATCTCATAAATTTCGATTTATTGTGGATAAGTCTCACTCACTCTGCTGTACTATACTTCTCTTTAGCACGTTCTTATTTTAATATGTCAACTCATTCGATCAAGTGTGGAAAAAACACCCTACTGGGTGAGAGTAGAAAAAGCAAAATTAGAATATAGACGGCGTGATGCATTGAAAGTAAGGTTTTATACATCTCTTTTTTCTCTCATGACAATTACTAATAAATTATTATTTTTTTTTTAGAAACTTGAATGTGATAATCTTCGTTTTAAAGATGAAGAACAACAAGAATGTCGAACAACATCGAATGTGATAAACAATTGATGTTAAAACCAGATACAGCGCTTTTTACGGCGTGTCTTACATAACCAAACTTAACTTCATGTTATAATTTTTATTCCAGCAACACTTCATTTAGACATATATATTATTTTTCTATTTATCGTTTGTTTTTCTCTAGTCATGTGTATGTTGAATAATTTTGCTTTACCATTTTATTTTACTTTTGTGTGTGAGAATTAATTTATGTTCAAATTTCCAACGAGAATGACCAGTCATTGTAAGATATTTTTTGTCTTTTAACTTACTCCAGTAAAAAATAATGCACATGTAATGAATGATTTCTCACTGAAGATTGGAACCGGAGTGATCCAAATTATATGCATAAAAGCTTTCATTCTCAAAGTAGTAGTATAGAGAAAATGTCAAATAAACAGGCTTAAAAAGTATTCTCCGTTTACCAGTATTGTCCGTTTTATTAGCGAGATAGTTGATTTACTTTTCATACGAAGTCAGATCAAAATTATTGTGACATGAAGAAGATACATATCTAAAGAGTTAAGGTGAAAAAAGATATTGGTGATAAAGTAAAAAAGAGTATTAGAGCGACAATTCCTGCCGGAGAAAAAGAGAAATTTTTGAAATTGCTTCATGAAATTGACGAAAAACTATCAAAACATTAAAATCTAATGATAATATTGTTGTTATATAAGCAGGTAAACGAGTATAATAAATTACAAAGGGTATCAGCATCATTAACATTGGTTTAAACTATATTTATTTTAAAGATGAAAAAAATCCCAATAATCCTCCAACTAAAGCGGCAAATTGACATTACATAGTTCAAGGAGTTAACATTTTTTAATAACTTATAAAATAATTATAATGTTGTATAACAAAATTTGTTTTTTCCTTTCTTCTTCTTCAAACAAGATATCCGCCTAAAATACAAAAACCCTTATATAAAATCGTCAAATTACGGGAAGCTTTTTTAATTTCCTATTAATGCAATGAATCTACATTCAGCATAAAACTGTGATAGAAAAAATAAATGTGACAGAACCGTTGCTTTTTGTATCCAGCACGTGACTGTGGATTCACATTTAAGAGGTATTTAAATTTCTTCCGAAAACTGTTAAAGTTTTGCAAAAGATTTGAATTTCTTTTCATCAATAGCCATTTGTGTGGCTCTTTCACACTTTTTCTATTTGGAGCTGGAAAATCTTTCCTCTTTTCCTCTTAGTTCCTAATAGTAGCTAAAACAAAAGAATAACAAAAAAAAAGCAGTATTGTTTTTACTGCGACTGATTCTGGGTTTAATGATTCCATATTTTCGCCAATCCTTTTCGAGTCGCTATCTTTATTAAAATTCAATACACACCATCTCGGAAAAGAACGATAAAATGTTGCGACAGAATACTTAAAGCATCGTACCACAATGCTTTAAACCTTGTGGCACACTTGCCGTTCCATCAGAACACTTAAAATGTTTATGGTAGAACGGTAAAAGGGATCTACTATAAAAAGCGTCAAAATACTTTAACCGTCCTTCCAGTAGAATTTAAAATGTTCCAGTACAACACTAAAAGGGTCGTGTTAAAAACACATAGGTCAGAAAAACAGCATCAAGAACAAAAATATAGTTAATTATTTATCTGACTTTTGGTATAGAAGAAGAACCTCGAAATTGAAGCATTTCGGGATTACTTTGTATCGGCACATATTTGTGTGATATGAAAAGTTAAACAGTCGGAAAAGGATTTTTCATGATGGGAAGTATGACACAAAACAATAGTCTGCTTATTTCACCTCACACTCCGACTTTTTAATCTGATGATCTCTCTAACAATCAACGAACATTGTTAGCTCGACTATGTAACGTTTCTTCAAAATATATATCTATATACGTTCAAATATATGTATACTACAGCTTTATCTATTCTAAAACGTTTGTACACAAAAAACTTGCTGGACTGAAGGAAGCATCCCTGTCAAATTTCAGAAATTCAGAATTAGCTATTCCACGAATTCAGAATTAGCATCAAGAATCCAAGAATTCAGAAATTGAAATCATCTTGTTTCAATTTGAGAAAGATTCAACAATTCAGGAATTGACAGACACCTTTCAGTTTTCTCAATTAAAAGAATACAAAAATTGAAAAGTTGAAAGTGTGACTTTTTGTCAATTTCTTGAATTCGAAAACGTCAAAAATTCTTTGAATTTGTATGGAATCGGTTTGAACTCACTTATTCAGGATAGTCACAAATCGACGAATTGCGTGGATCAGAGTGGACTGTAGCGTATGATTCAATGTTGGGTAGCGGCTCACTCTTATCGTCCCACTCCACCCCACACCGCACTATGATTACAAACAGACTTCTTATTTGTTACTCTCTGAATTAAAAATTATGTATTCTTTCAATTCCTGAATACCTGAATTCCAAGAATTTTTCAAACCAATTCGATACAAATTCAAAGAATTTTTGGCTTTTTCGAATTCAAGAAATTGAGAAAAAGTCACATTTTGAATTTTTAAATTTTTGTATTCTTTTAATTGAAAAAACTCAAAAGTCTGGGTCAGTTTATGAATTCTTGAATTAAGGAAAAGCTTGATGGTTATTTCCGAATACTTGATTCTAATTCTGAATTCGTGGAACGGCTAATTCTAAATTTCTGAAATTTCAGAAACTGGGAAAAAGCTCGATGCTAATTCTTGAATTCTTTCTGCTACTCTTGAAAATTTTATCAATATAGAGTTCTACGAATTCGGGTATCCCTTTATGAATTCATACGAATCGTCCGAAATATACACTCTAATAACAAATTTTTGAATACATCAAAAACCAGGATTCATAGCATGGGCTTAATGTATTAAATCTGAATATCAATAACGATTATTTTGCATAACTATTATTCAACAAATAACTGTTGTTTTTTTACTTTTTTTTGCGAATCTAAGATCTGACCTTCATTACTATAGGATATTGGTCTGACACAGGCTGTTTAGTAATATTACCGCAAAATCGACTTTGTATACGGGGTTTCCAAGGCGCGACTTAATGTTTTTCGAGATCAGAATCCTTTAAAACGTCGGGCACCAGAAGGGCGTCTTATTCAAATTAGGAATAAAAACGTGCAGTTTTTTCCTATGTCTAAATTCGAGATGGCGTCACATCATGATTTTTCGCGCTCATATAAATTACATGGGAAAATTTCAATTTTTTATTCCTAATTTGAATAAGACGCCCTTTTGGCGCCCAACATTTTAAAGAATTTTGATCTCTATACGCATACACAGACACATACATATGCAAATACATTTTGTTTTAAAGGTAATGAATTACATTCTTCTGTTACTTACATTTTCAGTTTTTTCATTTAATCGTAAATACTTTTGGTTCTTCTACCAAGTAACATGGTTTATCATCGGACATTTCAGTCTGATCCATATTATACAGATAATCAAATATACAGCATATCACTGGTAAAAAAAATAAAATTAGTTTTGAGTTGCTAAAAAGTGCTTTTTCATATTCAGCACACTCGATAACCCTGAAGATTTTCTATTTTTGGCGAGGGGTACTTCCAAAGGTTTAGGACCAACTCAAAATCAACTTTATTTTTTTTTGTTCCAGTGATACGTTACTTTTAATCCAGCCAAATAAATATTTTTAATATGATAGATAATATGATGTATTTAAAAAAAAGGCCAAGAGATCAAAAATAAGTTAACCATTTTGTAGAAAGGATGGCGAAATAACAAACTTATTTAAGATATCGGTTGTGTAATTCTAAAATTACCTTGGACCTTTTATTATTTTCGATTACAATAGAAATTGTTCCATATATAGAGTACTTTGGGGTAATTAGAGACATTCTTTGAAATTTTCATCCTTTTTCTGCTATTTCTTGACCGTTTTTGGTCGGAAACTTACTATTGAACACGGTGGTAAACCGGACATTTTTCTACATGCTCATGTAAAAATCTTTTGAAAATCTTCAGCCAGCTTTGAGCCAGATCCAAAATGCGAAGTGCTCCATCAAAGTGTCTCTAATTACCCCGTACGGAGTAATTAGAGACACTTCACTTGTACTCTCGGAGTAAATAGAGACACTTCATTCAAATACATGAAATTTTAATGTACAATTGCTGGTGAATTAAGCTTAGGAGATAATAATTTCAAAACATTTTGTAGCCCGGATCTTCCTCTCTCTACCATATAGTTTTGAGTTCATTATCATTTAAACTCATTAAGCTACTTAGCATATAATCAGCAGCACTAGAAATTTTCTGTTTTCCTTTTTTATGCTTTGGGGTAAATAGAGGCACGCGTACAATTTCTTCGGGGTAAATAGAGACACTCCACTGAAATACACGGGATTCTCAGAGACAAACCTCTACCGTCTCTCAGAAGTCGATTTTGGTATTATACTAAATGACAGAGTTCTTCAGAATGCTGAACTCTATTATATAGGTAAAAACCGGGAGAAAATGAAATATTTTCAGTGGTTTCTGTGCACACAATGAACATCGTCAATTTTAAACACATTTATTTCATTAAAGTTATCAAAATAATTAAGCTAGAGTTATTATTAACAGTCAAATTCCAATCAGATTGAACGTTTTCATATACCTTATATGAAAACTTGTTGTTGAATGTTTAAACGATAATGACGGTCAAGAAATAGCAGAAAAAGGATGAAAATTTCAAAGAATGTCTCTAATTACCCCAAAGTACTCTATATATGGAACAATTTCTATTGTAGTCGAAAATAATAAAAGGTCCAAGATAATTTTAACTCTTCTAATTAAAACTAGTTGACAAAATGAGCTATAACACATTATTTTCAAAGTTTGCTGCCATTGCGTTTCGTAAACGCAATGGACAAACACTTGCCAGATATCTCGATTTTCTGTCTATAGTGGCACATGAAAATGATTGTTGTTTCCTCTATAGACATTGTAGTTTGTTCGAATCGACAGTTTTGTGAAAAAAGTTTAAAAGGTTTCTCCGATTCTTAAAACCGCCGGCCTCGGAGAAATCTCTATAAAATAACCGGTTCATGCCGAATGCAAGGTGGAAATGCTGGCCTTAAACCAGATGTTCTATAAAATTCTGTAGCCCTTTCAATTCTGCATCTTTCTATATACAAACTACGCCTAATTTCTGTCTGTAGAAGAAACTACGATCATTTTCATGTGCCACTATAGACAGAAAATCGAGATATCTGGCAAGTGTTTGCCCATTGCGTTTACGAAAGCAAACTTTGAAAATAATGAGTTATAGCTAAGTAATGAGTGTTATAGCTCATTTTGTCAACTAGTTTTAATTAGAAGAGTTATAGATTACCTACCGTGCAAATATCTTTCTCGTCCTTTTCTGTTGTTCGTTCATCCTTTTTCTGGAATACTTCTAGAGAGTATAACTTGTTACAGACTGACTTAACATCTACACTAAACCTGAAAAAATTAAAAAAATAACTTGACGAATCACCTCCAACTATAATTTTATGCCTTCTTGTTGTTCTCAGCTGTTAGTCTAGTCGGTAGGACTTTTTCTGGTTTATTATTAGTTTTTCTTTTCTTTTTTTTCATTTCTGGCTTGTTGTTGTTTCTTTATGGTTATTTTATGTGTATGTGTGTGTGAATGGTTATACCGCAAGGTTCTTTAGTGTCTTGTACTAGCTTTTTGCTATTTGTGTATGCTCATGATCTTTGATCGAATAAATCGAAATCGAATCAGCTGTGAAGGTTTCTTCGTTAGACAATTGTGCAGGACCATTTGAAAAATAATGTGCTTCTGTTGCACTGGTTTTGCTAAAATTTGTTGTGACCTTAAAACTATACACAACTTTTCGATTATTTTGAAGTTGTTTACTTGAAATAAAAGATAATATTTTCTAGGAATTTCTAAGAAGTATAGGTTTCGTAACTGTGTCCAGGTATCTTCGTTTTTCGAAAACAAAATATAGATTTAAACGCAACTCGACACGCGATACAAAACTAGCATAATGAGATATGAGTGCCACTTGACAACTGCATGAACACAGGTACAGAAATTTTCGTTATTTCCTTATTAAATTTTAAATGGTAAGTGTTTCATATTAGCTTGTGCTATTGGATCATCAAATTTTATTTGTTTAAGATTCGGATGATGCTTTAGAGTTCATTGCCAACTGATTTTTGCACCATCTTCCACTCAACGTTCACTATGAGTAAAAACACATTCACACAACAACATTACAGGTGTTGTTCAACTTCTGTGATCATTGATAGAATCTCAATTTTACTAAGTTAACAACTGACAGTACATGGTTAAATTGAGCTTAAATCAATTTCTGAAATTCGATCAATCTTAAAATTATGTGGGCTAAATTTACGTAGCTTCCATCTCTTTTTTCCAATTCTTCTTTGTATCGATTCAATTTATTTAAAAGTGAAAAAGTAGCCGATAAGTAATGCCTGCAGTTATGTTTTGTATTGGGTACAATGGTAAACATAGAAGAGAGAGAAACCGTTCGTTTTTCAACTTTGTTCTACCTAATGTGTTCTATTAGAGTGTTATCATTTTCAGTGAATTTTTCCATCACTCGATTTCAGGCTTGAAAATGCACATGAATAACGTTCTTGTGTAGAAATTATTTTCCTCAAAATGTTTCTGGGTGAGTCAAACAGTTACATTTCTTTTGATTCAGATTCAGAAATACTTCAAGAGTCACAAACTTAGAGTAGACTCATCACCCAGTATAGACTATAATCATAGAAAATTTCATATTAATAATTTATGTGGTTTCGGAGTATATTTGACCAACGCGACAATCAATTTTTTACTTCCAATTCCTTTCTTTTTGTCTGCCGAATGTACACGTTCAAATTCTCTTTTTTATATAAGAGGGCTGCTCATTTATTGACTCTGATTTATGTGCTTTTTATTCAGCACATACACACGTTCAGTTATATATATGTAGAAATATGAAGTAAACAAAACAAAACAAAACACAAAATCCAGAAAAAAAAAGAAATAAGAATATAAGTAATAATAAACCAAAGAAATCAAACAAAAAAAAACAGAAAATTTATCAAAAAACATGTACATACATATCTATATATTTATAACCTTTCTATATAGGCTAATACAAGAATAAAAACTGAATGTGTGTGTATATGGGCGGTATAGTAGAGCAAAATAAGAAAGAGGAAAGATGTGTTTTTAACACTTAACATATAGAACAATTACAAGAAGAAAATGTGATAATGACTAATTAAGCAAAACAAAAGACGATGGTGATAGAGTTAATGGAAACAATAAGCTCAAACTATAAAGGCTTAGCTAACAAACATTCACCGGTGGGTAGCGATAATGGTCATACATCAGTACTTGAGTTAGGATAATCGGATTCTGTCAAAATCACTTATTGATTATTCATGCAAACAAGAGCGATGTCTTATATCTAGTATTTTTAGCTTATACAGAAAGAAGATATATGTATGTATGCATGTGTTTAAATAATTTTCATGCTCATATATAAATAGATAAACTGGTGAGACAGCCTGAAAACAAATAAACATGGGAGAACATACCCACACACAAACAAGAAAAAACAGACCACAAACAAACTTTATACAATGCTATATGTATAATAATCACCGAGACTAATTATAAAAAATTTTGTCCAGTAGGAAAACCATGTTGGGATGGTTGTGGTGGTTGAGTCTTAGATGAACGGGAATAATCTAAAATTGTTGCTGTTGTTGAAACACCGAGATTTGTTTTCGAAGTTGTTGACGTTTTTGTTGTTGGATTAAGAATATTTTCATTGGGTGAATTTTTTAACGACGTTTGTTCACGACCATATGAATTGAAAAAATCTTCGAATATAGCTGATTGAAAGTCGGCAAGAACTGCTTGTGGAAAAGATGGAGGTGGTAAATGTTTTGTATTAGGATCATTATTAATAGACGATTGAAAACTAGTTGAACCAATATTCACAGGATTTGGTAAATCGTGATGATTGGATGATCGTGGATCCGGCCTTTTTGAAGAGTTTGACGATGTGAATGATGGTGTTGGCGATGAACTGATATTTGTTGTGGGTGGTATATGTGCTCGTCTTCCATCAAGAATATTACGCGTAGCGGACGTTTTTAAATTATTTGATGAATCAATATGATTACCGTGAGATGGTGGACGACTTGTTTTATTATTATTACCATTCGAGCTAGAAGAAAAACGTGATAACTTTTAAATTGTTCCTAAAATTATACTAAACATCCTTCAATTACTCTAACCTATTTAGCATAAGAATACCCATTTATTTAGCAAAAAATCAGTTAACATGTATATGGATAAGAATCTTTGATTCTGTTATACAGTAATGATTATCTATTCAAGCATTGAAATGTGCTTACCGATTAGGTGTATTTGGTCGTGTTTTCTTTCCACTTGAATCCAATGGATCATTGATCGATAATGGTTGTTGATGTTTTGATTTATGACTCATATGATCGTTACCGTTGTTATTTATATTTAATTTATTATTTTTTTCCGATTGTTGTAAAACCGCTTGTTGCTGCAAGACAGCTGCCGCTGCCATTTGTGGATACCATTGTTGCATAGCAAGCATATTGTTTAGAAATGCTGCTGCAGCAAATGCTTTCATACCTTTGTTCGGATCAGTGTTTACTGTTTGGTCATTCCACCGATGTTGAGCATCTTTATTCGTTTCACCTACTGGATAAGGCGATTTTAGATTTGTGCCATTTTGTTGTTGTGGTTGATGAGAAGAATAAAATGCTGGTTGGATATCAAGTGATGGAGGTTTTAACGTGTTATTAATCATATTTTCTTCGTCAATTGCTTTGATGATTGTTGGTGTTGTTTTCGATGGTAACGTTTGTGTTAATAAATTTGTGGTTATAGAATTATTTAACGTGTTGCTATTATT